AATATTCATAAATTTTAAACTTTTAATAATGAAATTATTTTTATTAAAAATCAAAATATTACTATAACAAAATTTTAATATTTTATATTTAAATTTGAACGATAACATATTAGCTACCTATTCCGCCCCTCGGTTTTAGACATTTCGTCGTACGTTGGAGACTGTTTCAAGCTCATTAACATGTCGGATCACAATTGGAACCCTCCATTATGCATGAAACTCGTCCTCAAAATGGGTCTCTAATTGTACTTCACGCTCAACGTTCTTTATGTCTTTTGGTTTACTTAACCAGTGCATCTTTCTTTGGAGAAGCAATCCGCTCGGTTGAAATTTGCCCCTTCAGTTATGTAACAAAACGTCCACACGATTACAAGTCTACTACCAGCCTCTTCGACGACACTAGCCATAGTTTGGGCGAACCTTTGGCTCTAATACCCTCTGTCATCACGTAAGTCCTTCAAGCCCTTAAACAGAGGCACCTTGCTAACCTAACAGTCCGTTGTAACAGGATAAGTTTCAAAAAAACCCTTTTGAGATTCTCAGTCAAGCTTCAGTATAACGCTTTGACTTGAGAATTAGGAATTTAAGGCGTCAGGCATATTCGTGTGGCTTGTCACACCGCTCAATCCCTTGCTTTGTTCTCGAGCCATGGGCTCTTTCTTACGGGAGGCCAGGTGCGTAGGAACGCCCAATCCGATTTCCGCCGTGCTTATATATATATATATATATATTCCTTAATTATTTATATTATATAAATCAATGAGGGAAAAGAATGTGATCCAATATAATCGAAACAAGATTAATGAATCCAACGGCTCTGAAGTTACTAACCAATACCGTCGAGTTCATTAAAAAATTTCAGAACGAATTACGATATGTCGTTTCGTTCATCGCAGGAACGATTCAGAATCCCCCCGGCCTCCTAATCTAGCCCAGCCCGGCGGCCACCGTTCTTCATCTTCGACCGAGAAGAAGGATCCGGCGAAGTTCTGAAAAGTTTCGCAATCAATGGGTAAACGAAAGCGTCCACAACCGGTGAACTTCATTGACCTCGATCAGCCGACCACAGGTAAAATTTCATCAGTTCGTTTAGTAGCATCTTCTTGCTTAGTTTCAATCGGCATCGTTTTGCAGTCGAGAGATTGGAGGGAGATAGTTTACTGTCGTGTGGTTTGAATTAGCGATTAGAAGATTGTTTCTTGGACTTTGGCTGACATTTTTGCTTATTCGCGATTCGGGATGGTGATAATGGGAAGCTTGTTCTTACTAGCTAGTTGTATGTTTCTTCTTTGCCTCTAGCGGCTACCAAGATTATTGGGAGAAGAAAATTTATAGCTATGTAGTTTGTTTTATCCAGTTGCGCAGTGGTGGTAATTCATAGTAGGAAGCGGAATCTCGAACTACCTGCTTTCATGCTAGCTCAGAAACCAAAATTTATTAAACATTAGGGTGCCTATGTATGCTAACTGCAACACGAGTTTGTCTTGTTTGATGGAACTTTTAACTGCATTTGTCATATATGTTGTGGTAAACTCTTTGCATATTAGGAATTTTGGAAGGCTTGTTTCATAGAACGATGAAGGTCTCTGACTGGTTTTATGCATCATCGTCAATGAATTCTTGATGTGGTTCAGTGCTTCAATCTGAAGATTTTGTTTATACTAGACAACTTAATCATAGGGATGGATAACTATGGTTTTGAGCAGGCTTACTAGTTATCTTAACCTCCTGATAATTGTATTGAATTTATACTGATTGTTGGAAATTCGTTTTAGAAGGTTTTGGCTGGTGTATGATTCTGCCTGGAACCATCTTTGATCTTTGAACGCTGATTTTTGTGGGTCGTTCTTTTGAGATGCATAAACTTTTATGGCTGGCCTTTAATCGTTCCTTCTTTTGGTTTCTTTTGTGTGAAAGAAATGGGGGGATCTTGAACAGCATTCATTCTTCATTTAGTTTTATCGAATGCTTTAGTTTTGTAAATGTTGGCACCTTTCAATGTAAGTGTTGACCCATTCAAGGATTTTAGTCTCTATTCTTTAATACACAACGGGGAGTCTTTCTTGTAGTCCACCTGTTCAGGACGGTTGGGAGGGAGTTCCACGTTGGCTAATTAAGGGGATGATCATGGGTTTATAAGCAAGGAATACATCTCCAATGGTACGAGGCCTTTTGGGAAAATCAAAAGTAAAAGTCACGAGAGTTTATGCTCAAAGTGGACAATATCATACCATTGTGGAGGTCTATGATTCCTAACACCCGTGGTCATTTCACTTGTCAATGAAATATCTTAAAAAATCATCAACATTTTTTTTGTAATTTTATACTGTTGGATAGAAAAGTAGTTCCTTGTAAGGTAAACAATTTCTATTTTCTCTCATGGAGAAAACGACTTCTTCATCTTTTATTGCTTCTTGTTCCTTCATGGCCTACTATGGTTTCGGTTTTCTCTGTTCAAATCCTTTTATTTTATTTTATTTTTAAGTTATGAATTCAGCAAGGAAAATATATCATTTCTTGGGGCTCAGCGTCTTTGTTGGCATACTGCCCGATGTCTGGCTCTGATATCATTTGTAACAGGTTCACTGCTAGCAGATGTTGTACTAGAGGTTGATTTTTAGTATAGGCATCTAGGTTCCCATCATTATAATAACTTCCGGTCATTGTTCCATATAAGTTCTGTCTGTTTATTTTGGACACTCTCCAAATGAATTTTGGCAACAAACCGATTTGCTTACTGACAGAGACATGTTGGGTTCAGGTTACAAAATCTCACTCACCTTTTATATCAATTATCAGGGCATGGCAACAGGAAAAAATTAAAAGAATCTGAGAATATCGAAACTCTACAGCTTGTACCCCCCTCGACGTCAGACACTAGTCCTGTTCGTCGTCGCAAGCAATCAACAACGGAAGTTGAAACCAGTGGTGCAAGTCCTAGTCAAAAAAGGAAGCTCGACTCTAGAGCTTTTGAATATTGTTTTCAGTAAGTAACATTCCTTATAAACTTGCTAAACATTATGAGATATTTTCTGTAATTTGATTGGAATATTGAGATGTGTAGGAATTTATGGAGGAGCTCTCCAGAAGAGAAGAAGATCCAGTTTACATATCTCGACTGCTTATGGTTTAGCTTGTACTTGAAAGCAGCACACAGAAGAAAGGTCCTGAAATGGATTAAGAACAAACAAATATTTTCAAAGAAATATGTCTTTGTTCCTATTGTTTGCTGGTAGATTCTTCCCCACTCACGACTTAAAGTCTCGTATTATCGTGTTTATGTTGTATCATATAACGAACTAATTGTTATTAGGAGCCACTGGAGCCTATTGATATTTTGCCACTTTGATGAGAAGCCGGAGTCAAAAACTAGAAAACCATGCATGTTATTGCTTGATTCACTTCAGGAGGCAAATCCAAGACGGCTTGAACCAGAGATTAGAAAGTGTGTTTTTAGGAGTTAATGGATTTCTTCTCTATTATTGTTTCTCTCAGTAATTGATATGCTTTTGCAACCTTTTTCAGATTTGTTATGGACATTTTCAAAGATGATGGCAGGTGCAAGAACTTGAAGGTTATTGGCGATATTCCTCTCATGGTGCCAAAGGTAATCGACATTGTCGTGTTCGAACTGTCGTCTGATCCTATTCTTCCTTTTAACTTGTAAATAATTACACGATCTACGAAATTTCTAGGTGCCACAACAGAAGAATGGTGAAGAATGTGGCAAATTTGTTCTGTACTTCATTCATTTGTTTATGAAAGCTGCTCCAGAAAAATTTAGCATCAAAGACTACCCTTACTTCGTGAGTGTTCTTATCCCACTTATGACATTTTCTTCAGCAATGACTCTTCCAAATGCTGGAGAGATTCCATTAACGAGCTGAATTGGTGGCTTGCAGATGAAAGAGAATTGGTTTACAGAAGAAGGTGTGTGCCAATTCTTCAAGACATTCGGCCATTTTGAAGAGGACATCTGTCTATAATTTGTGCTCGACGCGTCGTGTTCGTCCTTGGCACGGTCAGGTTGTCATCTCTACTCCATGAGAAGATTTGTATAGCAAAGTTCACTAATTCCTGACATAGTTTAGTGTGTTTTGAATTTGTTGTGAAATGAGGAGGCATACGTAGGGAAGTGAGGAGCATTCATAATTAGCTCATCTTCTTAGTGTAGATCATCTACTTTCATGACTATAGTACCCGAAGGATTGATTGGGTGTTCCAATTAGTTGATATACATGTAAATGCATTTGTTCATATGATGCTACTATAGAGGATACATTTTCATTGTTAAATCTGGGTCTGGTGAATCATGAACATATTATTCATTCAATTCAAGTTTATGGATGAAATTTGAGTTCCTTATATTTTTGGTCGGATTGGAATGACTCTAAAGTAGAAATTCATTAGTGTTCGTTGAAAAGTTAATGCAGAACATTGCCCTTTCAATATTCCGCAGACGTTTTATAACTGTCATTAAATTAGAAATTTATCAGGAGATTGAGGTAATGATAGAAGCTGATTTTAGCCGAATTTGGTGCTAATAGTTATCCAACTTTTTCTCATGAGTCTCTCAAGAATGATTAGAATCACTGCATATCAACAAGTATAACTCTCGTAAGAGGTTAGGGTACCTTTAATTTTTTCATTCCAAACACTGTCCCGTTATTTTAAGTCCAAAATATTTATGAAAAGTCAGGAGTAATATTGTAATATTTTTTTGTACGAATACTTTTAAAACAAATTACAAAATTAAGAGGTATTTTATTTTAATTTTATTTTTAATTTTTGAACCTTTGGTTTATAAATACTACTTACACTCATAAATTTCTTTAATTTTGTTATATTGTTTTTTTTTTTGAAAACGTTCTAAAAATCCAAACCAAAATTTAAAAAACTATGAAAAGTAATTTTATTATTGTTATTTCAAAATTTGGCTAAAAAGTCACCTGTTATTTTGAGCGAGATGAAAATCATAGTTTTGAGCGAGATGAAAATCATAGTAAGGAATCCGCGAGAAAATAAATTTAATTACTAAAAACAAAAAATTAAAAGACAAAATCGTTATCAAACAGAACCTAAGCCTAACCCTTGGTCGTCTCGACAAAGGCCAAAGCTTTGCAACCGATACTCGACCACAAAACAATCTTGTCCTGTGTTGCTAACTACACCAGCTCAACTTCAAAGCAGAAGACAGACCCCAAGCCTTTGTCGTCTCGACAAAGGCCAAAGCTTTGCAACCGATACTCGACCACAAAACAATCTTGTCCTGTGTTGCTAACTACACCAGCTCAACTTCAAAGCAGAAGACAGACCCCAAGCCTTTGTCGTCTCGACAAAGGCCAAAGCTTTGCAACCGATACTCGACCACAAAACAATCTTGTCCTGTGTTGCTAACTACACCAGCTCAACTTCAAAGCAGAAGACAGACCCCAAGCCTTTGTCGTCTCGACAAAGGCCAAAGCTTTGCAACCGATACTCGACCACAAAACAATCTTGTCCTGTGTTGCTAACTACACCAGCTCAACTTCAAAGCAGAAGACAGACCCCAAGCCTTTGTCGTCTCGACAAAGGCCAAAGCTTTGCAACCGATACTCGACCACAAAACAATCTTGTCCTGTGTTGCTAACTACACCAGCTCAACTTCAAAGCAGAAGACAGACCCCAAGCCTTTGTCGTCTCGACAAAGGCCAAAGCTTTGCAACCGATACTCGACCACAAAACAATCTTGTCCTGTGTTGCTAACTACACCAGCTCAACTTCAAAGCAGAAGACAGACCCCAAGCCTTTGTCGTCTCGACAAAGGCCAAAGCTTTGCAACCGATACTCGACCACAAAACAATCTTGTCCTGTGTTGCTAACTACACCAGCTCAACTTCAAAGCAGAAGACAGACCCCAAGCCTTTGTCGTCTCGACAAAGGCCAAAGCTTTGCAACCGATACTCGACCACAAAACAATCTTGTCCTGTGTTGCTAACTACACCAGCTCAACTTCAAAGCAGAAGACAGACCCCAAGCCTTTGTCGTCTCGACAAAGGCCAAAGCTTTGCAACCGATACTCGACCACAAAACAATCTTGTCCTGTGTTGCTAACTACACCAGCTCAACTTCAAAGCAGAAGACAGACCCCAAGCCTTTGTCGTCTCGACAAAGGCCAAAGCTTTGCAACCGATACTCGACCACAAAACAATCTTGTCCTGTGTTGCTAACTACACCAGCTCAACTTCAAAGCAGAAGACAGACCCCAAGCCTTTGTCGTCTCGACAAAGGCCAAAGCTTTGCAACCGATACTCGACCACAAAACAATCTTGTCCTGTGTTGCTAACTACACCAGCTCAACTTCAAAGCAGAAGACAGACCTGCCTGCATTGAATAACATCAACAGAAGGATGCTCGAAGGCAAGATGCTCTAAGCCAAAACATTACAAATAATGGCTTCAACTCTCAAGGCAGTGAGCTTTTTCTATGAACAGTAAGGAAGGTCTACTTGGTAGAACTCCCAGTTGTCATCTCCCTCATCCATATCCTTCCTCCGAGTGATTTCCTGTTTTTGCTGCTCCTCAGCTCTTGATTCAGGCTTCCAAACCCTTCTGCAATTGGGGAACCACATCTACATTACTTTAAAACCATGGGGCAAATATATATTTCTATGTATCTATCGGAATTGAATTGCAGAGACTACGACTACATAGAACTAGAGACGTAAACAATCCTAAAAAAAAGGTTCCTGTAATAGCTAAAGCCCACCGCCAGCAGATATTGTCCTCTTTGGGTTTTCCCTTTCAGGCTTCCCCTCAAGGTTTTCAAACGCGTCTACTAGGGAGAAGTTTCCACATCTTTATAAAAAATGATTCGTTCCCCCTTCCAACTGACGTGGGATCTCACAATCCATCCCCTTAGAGACCTAGCGTCCTTGCTAGTACATTGTCCAGTGTTTGGCTCTGATACCATTTGTAAGAGCTCAAGCCCACCGCTAGTAGATATTGTCCTCTTTGGGCTTTCCCTTCTGAGCTTTCCCTCGAGGTTTTAAAACGCATCTGAGAGGTTTCCACACCTTTATAAGAAATGTTTCGTTCCCCTCTCCAACCGATGTGAGATCTCATGGTTCCATTCCAGATTGAACTAAGAAAGGGAAGGAAGAAGAAGAGCCATATAATTCAAAATCAATCATTCCCATAGGTTATTGTCCTAACGAATAAGTAATGGTAGGAGTGAAAGCTTCATATAACTCGAAAAAACAAGAACAAAAAGTCCAAGTAAATAAAATACGAAAAAGAAACCTAGTTTTTTTAGGATTATACAAAAGGATTCAAAGTGATGCTTGGATTCAAAATGGCAGTACAAAGTTTTGGTCTGCAATGGGAAGTGAATTGAATCCCCATCCATGAAAACTAGTTTGGTAGGTTTGGAGATATCGTCTAAATTTTTGGGTTCAAACCCTCCGTTGAAAACTTGTTCTCTCTCAAAGTAGTTGCCTTAACGTTCGGAATTAGTAGCGTGGACCATGAACACAATACAAAGAGAGTAAGGCCTCTGAAACAAATATAGAGAACTTAACAGCAAAACAATCCACAAGATTAAACCTATGATCTTTTAAAAATTAAGTTTATAAACAATACTTCAACCTATAACCCATGAGTTTCTTTGTTTTGTTTCTATTTTCTACCAATATAAAAAATAACCCAGCCATGTTTTGAAAATTAAAAAAAAAAAAAGTTTTAAAACTTTGTCATTGTTTCTGGAATTTAATGATTCAAGAACAAGGTGAAAAACATTGTAAAGAAACTTAGATTTCAAAACAAAACAAAAAAACTAAAAATGAATCATAGAAAGTGTTCTTCACGGCATCAAAATTATTTAGGTAATTCAACTCAGAGCTGAAAAGATTCTCTTTTTTAATACAAAAGTTGCACTAAGAAAGATGGATTATGGAAATCAACCATATAAGTGACCTTCTTAGCCAATAATCTTAATACTAATCACGATCACCTTGTAACTAAGCAGCATCCAACTATTTTCCTGTTTGATTTTGCTCAACGATTCATCATTGCTTTAGTTTATGGCTGGCTAAGCAACTCAAGTTCAATTACTGGAACTTCATCCTCCAGTTGAAAAATCCTCACTATCCTCTGTTTTCCTCTCCCACTAAATTAGAAGAAGGTCTAATAAGCTAATTCTTTGAATTGATATTGATCAATCTAAGGGCGGCTTCTGAGTTTTTGACAATGTTATGGAAGATCACAAAAGGAAGAGAACAGGAAACCAAGGAGAACAATGGTGGTATTGGTGCTTCAAGGGCACAACTGTTTGGATTGAATTTTTGGAAGAGGAACCTATTCAAGAAGTTGATATCGAAATGCACTGTTTGGCTGCCCAGAAAGTGAAAGAAAACAGACGATTCCACCAAGAAAATCCCTACAATCTAATCAATTCAAAAGAACTAAATCACAAAAAATCCACATGCAGCCATTTCATCTCATCAAGTTTTGCTTTAGAAACGAGATGACTAACCTCTTGCGATTCCTTTTTGCGGATTCTCTAGCTTTCCTCTTTCTCTTCGCCTGGCTGTTCTCAAAAAATCTTCTCCTCTTACACTCCTGCAAGATTCCAGCTCTCAAGACCTGTCTCCTGAACTGATTCACTAGCTTCTCTTCAGGATCGTTATTGTCCACAGTGATCAAAACATTGTAATTCCTTACGCTTAAGATGGGAGAGGTAGATTCTGGGGAAGAAGACGTAACAGAGCTCCTGGTCCTGGCGGCAGCCAACCGTGCCAGGTTTGGCTTCGTATGAGACTGAAAGTTTAAAGAGACTGACTCACGGTGTGGAGTGGACGGTTTCGAGATGGAGAGGAAGGAGAAGAACTCCGTGAGAGATGTTGTAGCGGCGTCCATGGCGACTCACCGGTGATCCCGTCTTCCACTTCCTCTGCGGACTGCCGGCCGAGCCCCTGTCGGGCAGGTGAAGCGTAGGTCCTTTTGCTAATGGGCTGGTTGGGTCAGTTATGGGCCGATTGAGTGGAGCCCAGCCCATACATTGGGGAATTTGCTAATATGTCTATTTATGAGAAATTGAGCCTTGTGAAGCTCACTCTTGCAGCAACGGGATATTAATTATGCGACACTTGTGGCAGCTTGTGTCACAACCACTTGTGGCAGCTTGTGTGGACACAACTGTCCGGTTGCACTCTTGCAGCAGCAGGAAATTGATTGTTGATTGTCACAATTGAACTCTTGCGGCAACAGGACATTGATTGTGCGACACTTGTTCTAACCAAGTAAGCAAGTCAGACGTGTGAGATTTAGACTTCACAGACAATATTGACGTATGTTCAAACTTCGGATCACGTTTGAGAGAAATGTTTTTAGAAAACGCGAGTGATGTAATGCTTTAGAAAACATTTTGAAAAAAAAAAAAAAACGAATGTTATAAGCCAAAAGTAAATGAACCACATCTTTCATAGCATAGAACTTTGGATAGAAAGAATGGACAACTAGTCTATCCTCCTACCATACATTTTGGGAGCATTTTTAGCCATTTTTAGCCATTTTTAGCCAAGTGTAGACATGATTTTGGTGACCAATTATACAATCCATATTAATACAACAAGAATAGTAAAAGGCTACCTAACCTGAAAGTGAGTAAAAAAGTGTTTGAAACAGGCATGTAGTCATAAACAACATGACTAGATAAGCATGAGTCGGACATCCAACATGCCTTAGACAAGCATGACCATAACACTAAAGTAAAAAAAAAAGTTTAGAATGAGCATGCAACCATAGACAACATGTCTAGACAAGCATGAGCAGGACATCCAACATGCCGCCGCCAAAGGCAACACGCCTTGGACAAACATGACCATGACACTAAAGTAAAAAAGGGTTTGAAACGAGCATGCAACCATAGACAACATGTCTAGACAAGCATAACTAGGACATCCAACATGTAGCCATAGGCAACACACCTTGGACAAATATGACCATGACACTAAAGTAAAAAAGGGTTTGGAACGGACATGCAACCGTAGACAACATGTTTAGACAAACATGATCAGGACATCTGACATGCAACCAAAATGCAACCAAAGACCTTCAAACAAAGAGTTCTAAAACTAGGAGGTGAAAGTTTTAGAGCCAACAAATTCGTTAATTAACATGATTTTCCCCAAACTTTACACTGCAACAGTTTCCACCATTGCTTAGACTTATGATCTGTTTACCATAAGATTTGAGCAGCAAACCAAAACATAGAAGAGATTAAGAAACATATAATACAACTAATTTTTACATTTCCGAACGCGTACTTCATATATGCGTTCAAGCTCGTCCTCGACGTGAAATAAACACTCGTCCCCTGATTGAATTTTATTTGCAGAACAAAAAGCTTCCCACCCACTTGTTAGAACATGAACATTAGGCATCTCGTGGTAAAGAATCGGCCACAGTCTCTTCCTCGGATCCCGAAGAAACACTAACCTTCTCTTCTCTGGATTTTTTCGGGCTCTCGAACACGGGGACTGCAAACTCGTCGGTAGCTCCTTTATGGGTGTCAAAATAACGTGACAAAGGGTAAGCAGTCCATTCAGTAATTAGCTCATAACTTATTTGGGTACAGACATGAAGCATCGATTGTGATGATATCAGTGCATCGTTCATATGAGATTCGTACTCTCGGGCATCACACGATATCACACATAAATATGTACAAGCCTGAGTGCATATGTCTAGGTACGTATTATTATGCTTATTTAGTTCGACTTTATAACATGAAATACTATACTTGTTTCTCGAATTTCTACTATTTTGGATCACTAAATCCGAAAATAGTTTCTAGAAGCATAAATCTTCGTTAAACTCAATGAACCTAGAAACATTGAAACACGATCCAGATTTTCGATCAACCAAACAATGAACCTAAAAACATTAAAACACGATCCAGATTACCGATCAACCAAACAATGAACCTAAAAACATTAAAACACGACCCAGATTACCGATCAACCAAACAATGAACCTAAAAACATTAAAACACGACCCAGATTACCGATCAACCAAACAATGAACCTAAAAACATTAAAACACGATCCAGATTTTCGATCAACCAAACAATGAACCTAAAAACATTAAAACACGATCCAGATTTTCGATCAACCAAACAATGAACCTAAAAACATTAAAACACGATCCAGATTACCGATCAACCAAACAATGAACCTAAAAACATTAAAACATGATCCTGATTACCGATCAACCAAACCCTTATAAGTCCTATATCAATATCAATATCAACTTTTTATGAGAACTATAAACTAAAACATGGCATAACCTTTAATGAACTAATATGAATGAACTTCATACTTAACAAAGCAAGAGTTGGCAGTAGAATACCAGAAAAGATAGAGTATCTTTAGCCACTATGCAGGAGACGTGGGCTCGAGTTGCTATCGAATCTGCATTACTGTCATTACCATCACTACCACTTTGGTTAGACTTTTCGAGGAGCTCCTCCTTCACTTTAGACACCGCTGTAACCAAAACAAATCCCATTTAGACATTGCTGAATCCACAGACTGCAAAGAAATGATGTGATAAATTAAGTTGAATTACATATTTGTCCAATGAAGTCTTCATAGTTGTTCATGTCTGTTTTAGTGGTCTTTTTAACGTCCCCTGTTCGAATACAGCATTCACAATAATATAACATTACAACGTTTTACAGATTCCTGAGGGCAAGAAATGACGTTTCTTATCTATAGACGAGAATGAATTGACAATTATACAGCCATATAGAGTAACCAGAATAGAGAGCAAACCGTGCGGACACTTTTTAACCTCCAGGGAAATTGGAGGATACTCGAGTTTCATGCCATGGGAATGGTCGACGGGAAAAGTATGTTTATTATTAGACTCCTGATGATCATGTCTTGTAATTGCTGAAATATTTTTCAAACATAATTAGTTATCTTGAATATAACTCATAACAGAACTGTATCGTATCACTTTAATACTCACTTGATGGCGTGTCGCATACTGCTGGTATATTCTGGCAGTCTTTTACACTTTTTAATGGCATGTCACAAAAACGCTCCACATTTCTATCAGAATTAGTTGCAGACGTAATAAAAGGAACCTCGATAGTCTTATCGTGGCAAGGATTGTTATCAGAGACACTCCTCTTTATGTCAGCCGCCTCAAAACACTGACTTTTATCTCCTTTTATATCAACTCGAGCATTGTTAATTCGGCTGACATCAATTGCAGCGTTTAATGACGTGGAAGCACGGTTAGGATTTAATTCATCCCCAGCAACTTTCTTAGTGGTAATCTCATTAACGCAGAAATTAGTCGTCTGCATTTCCATGGAAAACAAGTCGAATAAGGGACTTCTGTTTTCCTCCAGTTCTACGTCCTTGTTCTGGTTGATGAAAGCGTACGAATAATCAACAATGTCTGCTTTACAGAGAGATCCGTTCCGTTCATTACTGCTCTGGTACTTTGGCCTTTTGTCCTGGTTCAGGTTCAAATTCAAGTCTCGATAACAAGTCACGCAACATTTATCTTGAGACAGTGCCACATTGGATCCAGAACCCACAGAGGGGCAGGAAGCTTGTGGATAGGTCAAACCTTCATTAGTTGTCTCAAGTACAGGACAATTACTTCTAGTTCTTTTCCTCATATTGCTTTTGTTAGCAAACTCCTTTTCGCAACCAGTTTTCGTGTAGATAGTAACATTGAAGTGCAAGTCCATGATGTGATTGAAGGTCAAAAAATCCCCAATTTCTAAGCTATGCTCTGATGAAAACACACTCCACCCTTCTCGAAACGCAAGAGATCCTTCACAATTGGAAACTGTTACCTTCCATTGTTGCCCAAGAGAATCCTCAAGAACAACTTTTTTATTGACCAACCTCGACACTGTAGAAGCAAACACGGGTGGGAAGTACTGAAAAATAACAAAACACTGCATCAATGACAAAGAGTGCAAGTATCAAGGGAACGAGATGAACTCGTAGGCACACCAACAATAGAGATACAGTTACATGGAGATTCGCCAAATGGAAAGATCTCGAGGGGTGGCATCCAATAGATAATAGTTATAAGAACTACAACACCTTAAATATATTCGAAAACACGAATGGAGAATGCCACAAACAATTAACAAGTTACCATTTTGGATAAAACAAACATCAAGCTTGTCTACAACATGAACAAATACAAAAATTTAGAAGGCTGGAAACAAACTTTTGGAGATATTAACAAAAACGAAGAACATACCAAAACTTCGGAGAAGCGATCGCCAAACATAACTTTGAAGAACGAAGTTACAGATGATAAACTATTTGTCTTTCTATGAAGATGTAAGCATCTTTTGGTGCATTCTGGACAGGCTTCTACCTCGCTGCTCATCTCTTGCTGCTATCTACTAAAAATGCAAAGATGAAAAAGATCTGCCACATAATGGAAGAGTGATTGTTAGGAAAACCCCAAAGAAGTATGTAATGATGCTAAAAATGGTGCTCTAATGGGTGAACTGGGGCTTCCTATATTTGAAAGATGCATTCAATGATGTAATTAGATAGCTTATTTGAAAAGTTCATCATCTAAATCTCCATTTTCAGAGCAATTTACATAATATTCAAATCCACAGTGCATTACTTTGAAGTGGCTTCAACTTCAAAGGGCTATTACTGAGATGCCCATCAAGATCATCCTCATAAACAAACAGAAAGCTTTCAGTTGAAGCATCGATCAGCCCTTTGAATGATCCTTCAAATACATAAACATTTTTCAAATCAGAAAAAATATGATAATCATAACTTCTTTCCCTCTCCAATAAACAGTGAATTGAACATGGGATTCCAAAAAACAACTAGGAAGAACACAAAACGTTACAGCTTCATCAATTTCTAAGGCTATTTCAGTAGGAATGAACTGAGAAAAGTAACAAAAAGTTCAAATGATTCATTATTTGAAGTGTTTCTTAACATCCACAGCCATCTCGAAGAACAAAAAGATTCCCACTCATTTACTCAAAGAACCGCACTATTCCAAATTACGAAACAAAACTCAGCATTATTGATTTCGAACTTCTATTAAGCCAATGCGCCATGCATATAAATTTCAGCACATAAACAGATGAAGCTAAAGAAATTCCGACGAAAAACAATGAACTGAAGAACAATGACGTGATCAGAATCTGAACTCGAATCAACAGTCAACGTAAAGGGGGGAAAAAAAACAGAAAAAGAAAAGGTTGGAAACAGTGAGAACTTTTGGTGGAGAATGCTGAATTCCCAGAATCACAAGGCTCTGTTCTTGCTCTCTAAAACCAGTGCCTATGCCGGCGCCGCTGAGGGGGCTCCGTTTTATACTTGGCGGGTTCCGCGACGGTAGCCAACAAGTCGAGAAGTTTTACCGGAGGAGGTGAAAGCGAAATCAATTGAGATGAATATATGGATTGGGCTTTTGAGCCGAGCCCAAGGCTCGATAATATTTTGGGCCGAGCCCATGCTCGATATATCATTTGGGCCGAGCCCAAGGTCTGTATAGTATTTCAAAGTTTTAGGAAATACCAATAAAATATTTTTAAAATGAAAAAGGTTATACAATTAAAAGAATTTAGAGATTAAATTTATATTTTAACAAAAAAAATTATTCTCGTTATTTTTCATTAAATTTTCTCGTCAATATGAACATAACTTACCCTCGTAGGTTTAAGATTCGATTGTCAATATTAATACAATTAATCATTTAAAAACGATATTTATTTTCTTAAGATCAGATGTTCAAATTTTGTTTCTTTTACATGTTTGTGGTTATGAGATCCCACGTTGTTAGAGAGGGTAACGAAACATTCCTTATAAGGGTGCGAGAAACCTAGATAAGGGTGTGAAAACCACTCTCTTGTAGACGCATTTTAAAATCGTGAGGTTGATGACGATGCGTAATGAGCTAAGCAAACAATATCTGTTAGCGGTAGGCTTGAGCTGTTACAAATAGTATCAAAGTCAGACACCGGGTGATGTGCCAAAACAAAGCCATGAGAGCTTATGCTCAAAATGGACAATATCATACCATTGTGGAGAGTCGTATTTGTCTAACATGGTATCAGAGTCATGCTCTAAACTTAGCCATGTCAATAAAATCCTCAAATGTCGAACAAATGACTCCAAAAGAAAAAGGAGTCCAGGCTCCTCAAGGCATAGTAAAAAATGACTAAAACTCCAAAAGAAAAAAGGAGTCGAGCATCGATTAAAGGGAGACGTACTTTGTTCAAGGGGAGGTGTTGGATGAAAGTCCCACATCGACTAATTTAGGGAATGGTCATGGGTTTATAATCAAAGAATACTCTCTCCATTGGTATGAAGGCTTTTGGGGAAGCCCAAAACAAAGCCACGAGAGCTTATGCTCAAAGTGGACAATATCATACCATTGTGGAGAGTCGTGTTCTTCGAGGACGATAACCTTCCAAGGAAAGTGGATTGTGAGATCCTACATCGATTGGAGAGGGTAACAAAGCATTGCTTATAAAGGTGCGAGGACTCTAGGTAAGAGTGTAGAAGCCTCCCGTGTAGTGGAAAGAAAGGAACAGACCCAAGAATTAGAAGACATTCAAATGGAAAGAAAGCCTTATGCCATAACTGTTCATGCTAGTTCCATAGCTAAAGTTCAGAGATCTCAAAGATAAAAGCTAACAAAATCATCACCAGACTGATTCATTCTCAACATCCTATCCCTCATGACGTTTCTTGTCGAACAAGCTACCGAAAGGAGGCTCGGTAAATCCACCTTCGACGAACATGTCATGAACTACTTTATACATGGCTTCAGTGAGGTGAACTCCATCCCAGTTTATGTATTCATATGGCTTTTTGCAGGAACTTACTGAAGACATTCCACAGACAGCAAGCACGTTGAAGTTGTACGGTCCACCGACACCGCAGCAGGCTCTGAAGAGCTCCCTGAAACCGTACTTGCCGGGATTCTTCATGACCGTTCGATACGCATTCCAGTAATCAGCATATATGATGACAGCTTGAGGAAACTGTCTCCTTAAAGATTGCAATGAGGCCCTGAGAGCAAGATTGTGATAGTAGGTTTGGTTGTTTAAGCTCCTCACGCAGCCGATATCGTCTCTGTCGACGACGGGGGCTATAGACATTGCTAATGGCAGGCATCCACTTGGTGGTAAACCTTGAACAACCATGTATTTTGCACCCTTCTTCAGCAGAGACTGGAAAATCAAATCAAATGAAAAATTCATAGTTCATGCCACTGTATTCTCTCTCATATATCAAGTAAGTTTCTAATATTTTAGAGCTTAAAAGACTCCATGGAGGTCAAGTCATGTACCTGTAAAACTCCAGTAATGCTGGCAACACCGAGCTTAAGGATGGTATCATCTGGTATAGGCGATCCGGTGTTATAAGCATAATCGTTGACTCCAATTTCACCAACCCAAAACAAAGCATCATCAAAAGCAGCTGCCCCTCTATGTCCTTGAGTCTCCAAGAACTTGTTGAACCAATGTAGCTGAGTTTGGATAGACTGAGGAGTAATGTTAAGGCTGAGGTTGTTTCTAACAAAGAAATCATGGTTTATAGCTGTGGATCCTGCAACAGCAAAGTTCACCCCATGAAAGGACTCATTGCCCTTCAAATATCTGTACGGTGTCAAGAAAGGCAAGGACAATGTCTGGGCTATAAAGTCAATCACCAGTCGCCCATCCGAATATCGGTTGGTCGAGTGGTGAAAGAACGTACTGCCATAAGGAGAATTAGAGACATGGCCGAATACTGTTGGCCCTGATACAGACCTTGTGTTGCCCGTGTCTGTGAATGAATCTCCGAAGGCATAGATCTTACTGAAGAGACGTGGATGCGTCTCATTTGCAGTCGGAGAAGCCGAAGCAAAAGCATACAAGAGAATGAAGATAGCACTGTAGGATGTTAAAGCCACCATTGCTTCACAGATTTTCATTTGCCTCAACAACAGTTTTATTTCTCCACCTCACAGGTTGCTGAGGCTGATATAAACGATGTCGCTTTCGTTTACCCTTAATGCAAACGATACCGTTAAATCTATGAAGATCACACAAATAAGAGCTTTAATCTTGGAGCCAAGACAGGAAGTAGTTCAAAAAGACATTAGTTGAGTATCCAATAATGATGATTCATCACCAACATTGTCTTTATTTTCCTACTTCAAGAACTTCTCAATAATGTTAGAAGAAAGGACAAGAGAAAAGTCTATTAAGCAATTTAAGGGCTATACGCTCATAGGGACAGATCCTTCAAGTGTTTGAACTACCGGTATCACTTTCTGGGTGGAGATTTTAATGCACGTCTCTCTCTCTTCATAGATCATTTCCTTTTATGAATTCACTTCAAACATGGAGGGCCAAGGAGAAATTAACAAGTCACCTGATTTGTCTGCGTACATTTACTGTTCCATCTCAGTGCAGATCAATGCTAAGCTCAACCTGTTACCATAAAAAATAGAACCAACGTTCTCGGTTATTCCACACGCTACCTAGTAGAGGAGCGGTTATCTGAAGTGGATTCTCTCTTTTCTAGTGGATGCCGAACCTGCTGTCCCATTGATTAAGAGAGAGAGAGAGGGGAGGTGGGGGGGCCAGCAGCTACATAGACCCCTTCTTTTTTGTTGTTGTCAGCGCTTTCCTAGGCCAAGCCGGAATTCTTTATCAGAAAGGGCAGGCAAAACTCGAAGACTGCTATCCTACCTAATAGGCCAGTGGGTGGAATGAGGAGAGGGCCCGACAATCATACCACCGCTTTCGAAAAAGCGTGTTCCCTTCAGATAAGATGCACAGTAAAATTGGGTTCAAAAGAGATCTTGTTGTGGCCTAATATGAAGTCAATCAATTCAAAAGCTCAGAAATCTTTAAAATTGGGTTCCAGGCTTCTAGTGCCTCTACATAATGCACAACAGAGAGTTCAGCACAAAGGGGTTAACAAGGAATTTTATATAAGATTGATGATGAGCAATGGCTACAACGTTTAATCGTTAATTAGGCGTAAATCTACAACCCCTCCCATCTCCTCTTCATGACAAAGTCTTCATGTCCTAACTATCACCATTTCTAGCACTTTGTTGCATCCGTGACTCGTAAAAGAGTCTCACAGTCGAGAAGATTAAGGAAGGTTCAGCCATTGCACCATTGCCGTAGTCTCCACAGGCTAGCCTCTTGGTAACAGGTGGAATGAGAGTTATCCCAAGTTCATCAATAGCAATGAGATGCCGCTCAGTAAAAGGGTTAGTCCACATATAGGTATTCATGGCTGGTGCAACGAAAAATGGCTTGTTATAGTCCCATGCTCGCACAACACACGTCAATAGATTGTCACATAATCCTCCAGCAATCTGGGACAACAGCAAATGCCAGGATCAAGTTCAAGAAGGATTGTTCTTGAGTTCACCAAAAGTTTCTAAGGATCATTTTGAAGGTAGATTGCCTTGTTATCGTAGCACACACATATACAGATAGAAACTACCAATGTAGATGGATGCACATCTATAGACATAATAGCAGTTCAGGAGTACACAAACAGGCAGGACATCAACATACAAACAAAGATAGAATGGACAGAACAAATAAATCAACCAGACTCTATGGTTGGGAGGGAGTCCACGATGGCTAATTTAGGGAATGATCATGGATTTATAAGTAAGGAATACATCTCTATTGGTTTGAGGTCTTTTGGAAAGCCCAAAGCAAAGCCATGAGAGCTTACGCTCAAAGTAGACAATATCATATTATTGTGGAGATCCATGCTTCCTAACATGGTATCAGAGTCATGCCCTTAACTTAGTCATGTCAATAAAATTCTCAAATGTCGAACAAAGAAGTTGTGAGCCTCGAAAGTGTAGTCAAAAGTGACTCAAGTCTCGAACAAAGGGTGTACTTTGTTCGACAAGAGGATTGTTGGGAAGGAGTCCCACGTTGGCTAATTTAGGGCATGATCATGGGTTTATAAGTACGGAATACATCTCCATTGGTTTGAGACCTTTTAGGAAGTCCAGAGCAAAACCATGAAAACTTATGCCGACAGTGGACAACATCATATCATCGCGAACGATTCCTAACAAAAACCTTCAGATTTTACAAAGATGACCCATTTTCGGGACCAACCCAATTTGAATTTTGAAGAATGAGATTAGAAATAAACAGTTCCATCATGGTTAAAGTAATGTACCTTGCCGAGCGTGTTTGCAGACAGAGGAGCAATGACCATGATATCAGCCCACCGGCGAAGCTCAATATGAAGAACACTATCACCAATTTTGTTCCAACCAGTCCACTCATCTTCATCGGTATAGAGTACAGCATCCTTAGGAAGAGATTCTCGATCGATGAAGTGTAAAGCAGCCCTAGTAGCCACCGCTTTAACGTCCGCCCATTCAGAGAAAGAACGGTAGAGATTCCCAAACTTAATTGAAGCTACGCTTCCACTGGCAGCAAGTAAAATCCTCGGTTTCCTCTGAGCATTGTTGACTTGCATCAGCTCTCGTTCAACACTTGCAGGCTCTGGATATGCCATGCCTTCTGGCACAAACTCACAAAATTCCTCAAAATTCACCTTGTGCGTTCAAATTTCAAACTTAAAAAGATAGCAACGGAGAAAAGAAAATAGAACAAACGCTCCAAAATCCATCCGCAAATGATGCATTGAACATGAAGATTCAGAACAAAACAAGTAAAAATTTGGAAATTACGCTACCTTTAAACTTGCCTCTCTGAGACTCCGATTCAACTCCTGCCAGGCCCCAGGGTTTAGCACCAAAATCAAGAGAGAGAGAATGCAGACCGGAGAATGGAGAACCCGGTTCACTGAAATTGTACTTCGGCCCACGGCCAGTGTCGGCCCAAGAAAAAACCAAAAATACTAAAATAGAAAATAATAACAAAAACTTTATCTATTAATTAATATAATATGTATCTAATAAAATTTTAAATTTTCGATCAATTATTATATAAAATGATTATTAAATACAACGAATTAAAAATTTTAAAATTTTATTTTAAAATACAATGATGGTCACCCTCGTAAGGGTATTTTGGTCATTTTATATTTCAACTTATACTCGAGCGGATTTCATTAAAATAATTCATTTAAAAAAAAATTAATTTAAGGGGTTACCAAATATTATATTCTTTACGAGGCATAAAGTATTATGATCATGCTCCCGATGTGTTGTCTGTTTATTAAATACAACAAATTAATAAATTTAAAATTTTATTTTAAAATACAATGATCGGTTCATTATTGTTGGTCACCATCAAAAGGGTATTTTGGTCATTTTATATTTCAACTTATACTCGAGCGGTTACCATTCAAATAATTTATTTTTCAAATTCATTATCTAAAAAAATTAATTTAAGGGGCTATCAAATATTATAATTTTTTACCTAAGGTGTCATGATCATGCTTGTCTATGATGTGTTGTCTGTGACTACATGCTCATTTCAAAATCTTTTACTTTGCTTACACGGTATGTACTCGACCTATGTCTTCTTATAGTATAACTCAGAATGTACTATAACGGATATGATTAGTTGTTAAGAATGTACTATAATGGATATGACTAGTTGTTAAATATTTCTATAAGGTTTTCTAAAATAATTTCCAAAAATGGGTAGAAGTTGTCTGATTTATGGGAACGAGCTCAAAAAAAAAAAGAAAAAAAAAAAGTATGTATTTTAGAAATTATAATAATGTTTTTGAGATCACTTGGGGAAGTTGAAACGACGTGAATCCCACGTTATCTTGCGTGTCGTTTCGATTTCAATTCTCGTTTGGGAGCGTTTGATTCGCTGGGTTGGAGGTTTGATAAGAAATCACTGACGATTTGTTTTCTTTTCGTTTTTGTTTTCCTCGTATCCGATCCACCGACCTGCGTCCTGCGATCATGGCACCGGTAAGTTTTATACTCCATTTTCATGCATCTTCGATTTTTAATTAGAAGAATTTAACTTTTCGTTCTGTTTCCCCAAAGAAATTGCGATTGTGTTCATCGGGATGATCTAAAGGGATTGATTAAACACACACCAATCGGTGATTAGGCTACATGGATGTAATCGTAGGATTTGGTTATTGAAATAAGGTATTGATTAATCAATGGTGGCTGAGATGAAGGAGGGAGATGTGATTCCTTTGACGCTAACAATGCTCTAGAATGAAATAACAAATCGCCATGGTTTGTTCTCTCCTTCGTTTTATTACAATTGACGTGTTGGAGAACATTTGATGTAGAAATTCAATCTTGTTTGTATGTTTTAACAAGATCCGAGCAGGGAAGTGTAAGAATTTATGCATGAAAATATGAACATTTAGTTAGGTTGATTTAGGGATTTGCTAGATTGGATATATAGGAACTCATGTCCATGGCACCATTCCTGCACTGAAATATTTGCGTATTCCAACATTTTAGAACATAGAATAGGTTGGGCGTAGACAAATCCGGTGGAAAATTTAGAGCTCCACTGTTCAAGAAAACCAGAATAGGAGAATGCTTAGAAGGGGTGAACAGCATTGGAAGGTCTCAGTCTTTTGCTAGGTTAAATGGTTCTCTATGATCTGTTTATAAGGAGTTTTATAATTATTGTATGGCCCTTAATCTTGTTCATTGAAACTTCTTGTAATCCAAAAGGAAACCCATCTAGGAAACACAATCAACATTCCCAGTTCATGGAAAATTGAAAATACTGATCTAGATAATGGAGAATTGTCCATATTGCTTATTTGCAGGCTAAAAAGTGAAAAAAAATATATCATTTCATCCTTCAATGCGCCATATCTGTCTTAAATTCTGTTGGAAGCAGCCTGCGCTTCCTTTTGCCAGTCCTTCCATCTGTAGAAGAGTTGTAGGCTATAAGTAATTGTGGGCTGTTTGTTATCTGAAGTCATTTACCAGCAGAGATCATTGAACATTTTTTCAAGATGTTAATAGTAGCATGCTTAATAAAGTCTCATGGAGATATCATTGCATAATTGCAGCAGGACAAGGGTTGTCCACTGCCGAAGTTCGGGGAATGGGATGTAAATAAGATCATTAAACATTTTTCAAAGCTTTTAGTAGTAGCATGCTTAGTAATGTCTCATGTAGATATCATTGCATAACTGCAGCAGGACGAATGGGATGTAAATAAGATCATTAAACATTTTTCAAAGCTTTTAGTAGTAGCATGCTTACTAAATTCTCATGTAGATATCATTGCATAATTGCAGAAGGACAAGGGTCGTCCACTGCCGAAGTTCGGGGAATGGGATGTAAATAAGATCATTAAACATTTTTCAAAGATTTTAGTGTAGCATGCTTAGTAAAGTCTCATGTAGATATCATTGCATAACTGCAGCAGGACAAGGGTCGTCCACTGCCGAAGTTCGGGGAATGGGATGTAAATAAGATCATTAAACATTTTTCAAAGATTTTAGTAGTAGCATGCTTAGTGAAGTCTCATGTAGACATCATTGCATAACTGCAGCAGGACAAGGGTCGTCCACTGCCGAAGTTCGGGGAATGGGATGTAAATAATCCTGCATCTGCTGAGGGATTTACGGTCATATTTAACAAGGCTAGAGATGAGAAGAAGACTACTGGAAGTGTTGCCAATATGGTTTCTTCACAAAGTAATGAGCCTGCCTACAACAATGAAAGTTTCCCTCAGTCTCCTCCACCAAAGGTCTGTTTATTAGAAGACTTTGGAATCAATTTGTTCTAGATATCTTGAATCTAATCTGTTCTTTGGTATTTGAATTGCAGAAGAGGTGGTTTTGCTGTGGTTGATGCCACCACAGTGGTTCAGGGTCTTGACTTATGTAATCCATTGTGAAAGCCCGTAAGATTTGAGGGCCCTATCCAACGGTGGATCACTGGATTACAACAAAGTTGTTGCGCCAAAAAATGACTCATATTATTCCTTTTTCCTTTTCACTTTGGCTTTCACGCTTCATTGACGTTATATAATAATGTTTATCACATGTTATTCTGTATTTTCATTGTAATACAGAATGGAAAGGATAAATTCCATTGTCGAGATCTTTTTTCAATTTCATGATGATGATCTTTATGTGGACCTATGGTGGAAGGATTCTGATGGGAACTTTCTATAAATTAGCATGCTTTGTTTTAGCCTTTGCTTTGTCATTGTTCTTCTCAAAAGCTCGTTCAAGCTTGTCTAAGAAGCTTCAAGCGTTCCGAGGCCGGTTTGGATCGACTTTTCAAAGTACTTCAAAAGACTTTTCTATTTGTAGATAATGTTTTCAAGTACTTGAAAAGTCTATTCCCGGCAATTTTAAATAAGAGATTAGAGTCTATACATGGAGATTAGAGATATTCAAGCTTGTCAAGGAAGCTTTAAAGTGTTTTTAGAAGCCGGTTTAGATTGACTTTTCAAAGTGCTTCGGAACACTTTTCAACTACCTATAGATGATGTTTTCAAGTACTTGAAAAGTCGATTCCTGGCAATTTCAAATAAGAGATTAGAGTCATTCAAACTTGTCCAGGAAGCTTGGAAGCTTTAAAGCATTTTAAGAAGCCGGTTTGGATTGACTTTTCAAAGTGCTTCAGAACACTTTTCAACTACCTATAGATGATGTTTTCAAGTACTTGAAAAGACGATTCCCAGCAACTTCAAATAAGAGATTAGAGTCATTCAAGCTTGTCAAGGAAGCTTTAAAGCGTTTTAAGAAGCCGGTTTGGATTGACGTTCCAAAGTGCTTCAAAACACTTTCCAACTACACTTGAAAAGTCGATTCCCGTCACGGCAATACCTGTAGGTTGCCAGTTCTAACAGAGATTTGGATGAAAAAGGAGGCTTTGAACGAAATAGTTTGTAATTCTTCTCAACAGCCAACTTGAAGCAAAAACTCATTGATCCTTCTGTGCTCTATGAAATGTCTGGATAAGATTGTATCTTATAGCTACAAGATTATAGCCATTGTGTAGAAACTTAGGTATAATTTACATTTTTTCTTTGTTCAGCTAGAAAATAAGTGCCATCATTAGAAAAGCTTATGGCAGAACCCGATGGTAAACGAGTTGAATGCATCCTTATATCCTCTTAACAAACAAATCCTCCATGAAAGTTCCTTCATAGGGCCTCTGCACAAAATTCTTATGCAGACTGCTCAACTGTGACGCCATTTCCACTCCCTCCGCCCATTTCAGCCCCTTCTGCAGCATTAAAGTTGCTGTAGTGAGGCTGCTGTTTAAGCTCGCTCGTTGAAGAAGCTGGAAGCATAGGATGATCGAACTTGCACGACGGCCCGAACTTACAGATGCCGTAGCGACTGTAATACGTGCATACGTTCTGATCCTGAATGTCACATAAAAATTTATCCTTGAGGTATTTTCTACAGAGAAGTCCTATTATATAAACAACCAGGAAATGAGAAGGACAAGCTTACAGGTCTCAAAGGCAGGCCTTTGTCATTGAGCGTGCAGGTCGGTAACTTCAGGTTCCAATTTTTCGGGTGGTGATATATGCAAAGAGATTTAAATTTACAATCCCCTGTCTTTAGAAAGTAGCTGCATTCGGGTTGACCAGGTCGTTCGGGATGTTCTTCTACTTGCTGATGAGAAGGATAAAGATCCGTCCCCGATGCTATATTGTTCACGGCATACGTTGGGGGTGGAAGCATGCTGATTTCTGATGGATACATGGGAGCCTTAACATGAACAAACCACAGATAAAGTCAATACGATACCGATATCCTTTAAACCAGACCATCCGAGATGAACGTAATACGATACCTGGTATGCGTTCCATTCTGAATCTTGAGAAGGTGAAATCATAGCAGGTACAAATGTTGGTGTTTCATTCAGCACTCTTGGTGAAGTCCAGGATGTGATCTGTGATTGTGATGCACCACCTTGTAGCAACACTCCATTGTTATATCCCGACAGCGATTCCGGTACAGCAACGGTAGTAGGATCGGGATGATTAAACTTGCAATTCGCTCCATATTTGCAGCATCCCGTGCGCATGTAATAGGGACATTCTTTTTCGTTCTGTCAATAAAAAGATCATTAAATTCTTCAAGATAAGTGAGATAAAGGATCCAATCTAGAAAGATGTCAAAGTTACGAACTAAACTAGTCGGATTGGCAAACCAAGGAAGTTAAGCTCGAGAATTGGGTTTGGCAATGCTCTCGGTCTCGTGTGGTTATATCTACAGGCTGTTCCGAATTTACAACCCCCGGTCCTCGAGTAATACTGCGAATGGCTCGTGAAGTGTAAAAGTTAACCGATAGCAGTAGATCACGCATATCATACATCAATCGATCATGTAAACACGGGAACTTAAAGGAATATAAGAAAAGTTCAGAACAGGGGTATGCATCAAACCATTTAACTAAGCAAAATACTTGAAATTTGTTCATGAAAACATAACAACAATGGAAACCTTGCATTCGGTCTTGCTCGTCTGCTCGGCCGAATCGTTCTCGTGCTTCAATTTCTCAGAAACAACCTTTCAAATTGAACAAAAATGAAACCCATCAAGAATAAATGTTATCCAGTGATCATGTTAGAAGTTTCAATAGAACAATTAGGACTGAAGTAGCTGAGAAGAAGAGCCTGGAACAAACTTAAAATAAACAGGTAAATGCCGATGAATTGGAAACCGGCAAATCTCAACTTTGTAACCGCCCAAGCCCAAGTCCAAGCTCACTGCTAGTAGATACCCTGCGTCCTCGCTGGCACACCACCCGATGACTGGCTCTGATACCATTTGTAACAGCCGAAGCCAACCGTGAGTGGATATTGTCCGCTTTGGCCCATTACTTATCGCTATCAACCTCACAGTTTCAAAACGCATCTACTAGGGAGAGGTTTCCACACCCTTACAAGGAATGCGTCATTCCCATCTCCAACCAATGTGGGATCTCACAATCCACCCCCTTAGGGGCCAGCGTCTACTAGAGAGAGCCCAAGCCCACCGCTAACAGATATTGTCCTCTTCGGCCCGTTACGCATCGCCATCAACCTCACGGTTCTATAACGCGTCTACTAGAAAAAGGTTTCCACAACCTGCTTCGTTTTTCTCTCCAACCGATGTAGGATCTCACAATCCACCCCCTTGGAAGCCTAACGTCCTTACTAACACACCACCCAGTGATCGGCTCTGATACTATTGTAACCATCCAAGCTTATCGCTAGTAGAAATTGTCCGCTTTAACCCGCTATGTATCGCCGTCAGCCTCACAGTTTCAAAACGCATCTACTAGGGAGAGGTTTCCACACCCTTACAAGGAAGACTTCATTCTCATCTCCAATCAATGTGGGATCTCACCATCCACCCCCTTAGGGGTCAGCATCTACTAGGGAGAACTCAAGCCCACTGTTAACAAATATTGTCCTCTTCGGCCCGTTACGCATCCCCGTCAACCTCACGGTTCTAAAACGCGTCTACTAGGGAAAGGTTTCCACAACCTGCTTCGTTTTTCTCTCCAACCGATGTAGGATCTCACAATCCACCCCCTTGGAAGCCTAACGTCCTTACTAACACACCACCCAGTGATCGGCTTTGATACTATTGTAACCATCCAAGCTTACCGCTAGTAGATATTGTCCGCTTTAACCCGCTATGTATCGCCGTCAGCCTCACAGTTTCAAAACGCATTTACTAGGGAGAGGTTTCCACACCCTTACAAGGAAGACTTCGTTCTCATCTCCAATCAATGTGGGATCTCACCATCCACCCCCTTAAGGATCAACATCTATTAGGGAGAACTCAAGCCCACTGTTAACAAATATTGTCCTCTTCGGCCCATTACGCATCCTCGTCAACCTCACGGTTCTAAAACGCGTCTACTAGGGAAAGGTTTCCACAACTTGCTTCGTTTTTCTCTCCAACCGACGTGGAATCTCACAATCCACCCCCTTGGGAGCCCAACATCCTCACTGACACACCACAAGGTGATCAGCTCTAATATCATTTGTAACTGTCCAAGCCCACTGCTAGTAGATATTGTCCGCTTTAACCCACTACATATCGCCGTCAACCTCACAGTTTCAAAACGTATCTACTAGGGAGAGGTTTCCACACCCTTACAAGTAATGCTTCGTTCCCCTCTCCAATTGATGCAATGATAAAAAAAAGCTATACATGCAAAGAGAACAGCACTAAAACCTATCAACAGAGGTTTAACAATCAACAAACCAATACAAAGAACAAAGCATTCAAACAGAGGTATTAGCTTACACAAGTAAATAAGATCTCCAGAACCACACCTGATGTCTCTTTCGCAGTGGATGATTGAATTTACACAATGATCCAAACTTGCAAGTGCCAGTCCTAAGGTAAAAGGCACAATCCTCAGCCTCTGACCGTACAGGGTACTGGTTGTTTCCACCCCTCATTTCCCCTTCCTTCTCCACCTCACCGCCGTCGCCTGCATCCACCACCACCACCTCCTCCTCCAAATTTCCTTCACCTTCAACAGGATTCTTCTCAACTTCCCATTCTCCGCCGCCGTCAAAATCCTTCACCGCCGCCTCTTTCTCATCCTTCAAATCCAATTTCTGAAGCTCTGCATGGATGCGATCATCATCGGCCACATGCGATGCATCAAATAGTGCAGGATCATGAACAGAGCCATGAAACTGTAGAGATTGAGACCCAGAAGGCAATGATTCACAGTGAATAGGGACGAAAACAGCTTCAGAAGGTTCCATTCTGCGTCACATTTGAACCCAAGAAAACCCTAGCTGCTACAGAGAATAATAAAGTACATGGAGAAATGGGTATTGACACTAAGTGGGAACTAAGAACAGGAAAAGGTCACTTTCTGACTGCGGCCGTTTGCGCTTCGCCTCTCTCTAACAATCTTCAATTTTTTTTTTGTTCTTTTCCTTTTTTCTAGACGATTCGTGGGGTGCTTTGACATTATTTGATTGAAGAGTAAATTGGGTTGAAATTGGTTTGAAATTGGATTGGATTTTAGTGGACAAACCCAAGTAAAAAGCTCAAAAACATCGATTTTCGGTCGATCCGTAACGGTTTATAAATGTTCCAAAACTATTAAAAATTCGTTAGAATATCGAATCAAAAGTTAGATTGTAATAAAAGGCATTGTAACGCTCGATACCCATAATTTAGTTTTAGATTTAGTACTTGATGGTAGTGATACTTTTCCGAATCCTCGGTACCATCATTCCGTTACTTATGTCATAAATAAATTAGTATTTTTAACGTGTTTGGTTATTTCTCACATATTTTCTTAAAAAAAATAGTACTGGGTTAGTATTACTTTTTAATTATTTTAACAATTTTTTAATCATCATATTCTTCGGATTTATTATCTAAATAAAATTATTTTTAAAAAAGAAATGATAAAATTTATCATTTTTTTCAATTCAATTTAAAAAAAAAAAAAGAGGAGAAGAGTTACATCTTAAGGTTCTAAGAATCTCGATAAAAGGTGAAACTTTAGAAAAATGCTCCTGGGAACAAAGAATATTAACCTTTAAGGTCTTTTTCAATGCCAAAATTAAAAGAAAATAAAAAGGGTATCTTCAAAATATCTTTACAATAAAAATTGATAATATTTTGTTTAAAAAATACCTTCGAGTAAGGTTTCTAATAAGTTCAAAAATGCTATTTTTAACCTTAGTAAAAAAAAAGTTTTTACTGTCCTTATATAAACAAAACGGTTTATTACCTCATATATTATCGCTAAATTTTTAATGTTATTGGTAAAAGATCATGAATATATTTTAAACGTAGAACTAGTAAGAAAACTAAACGGAACAAGCTCATAAAGAGGCAACAAAACTTGTCTCCCAATCATTGATCCTGTGATTCATTCAACTTCCCCGCCTGCCAGCTGAACCTCTAAACTTAGAGCTTTTCAGGTCAATGTCAACCTTCCTCAACAGATATATGCCTTAACCCATTATACTGCATCTAGATTGACTAACATTTCTTGAATTCTCACAAGAAAAACGAAGAGAACGTTTAAAATGATATGAAAAAGAGAGTCAAGTTCGAGATAAAAGCTTAAACTAATAAGGAGAGGCGAGGAGGATGAAGATTTTCTCCATGAAAGCCAAAGAAATGGCTCTTTTAACAAAATACGACGAGAAAGCAGCTGATGAACATGTCCTTAGTTTCATAGGTAGGCCACAAATGACGAGATTTTATCCACAAAAACCCAAAAACGAATCTTTTAACCGTATACGACGAAAAAGTAGCTAATGAACATGTCCTTAGTACCGTACGTAGACTACAAATAACAAGAGATTTTCTCCATAAAAACCGTATATGACGAGAAATCAGTTGATGAAAACATCCTTAGTCCTGTAGGACGACAACAAACGACAGGAGTGCTATCTTTTACATTAACTCGAACAAACTCAACTCGTGAATATCTTTTTCGACAGATCAAACTAGATATCTAAAGTCTTAGGATGTGTCTAACAGATACAGCAGCAGCAGCATTTGAGTCATAAAAGTAAATCAAATGGCATCAATGGAAGCAAAAGAACAGTACACAAAGTTCCCAGAAGGGGCAATGTCCAACCCCCAACTAAGATCATGATTAGCATCTGACATTCATTGGAGAAGAATGTTCGAAGATCCAAGCAATTGCAAGGTTACAGAAAATCAATAACACCAATGAACACAGACAACACAACAGAATTAATTGATAATAATTACAGGGATTTGCTAAACCTATCCCTATCTCTAATAATCCTAAACCTGTCATCTGACCAACATCATAACTATTCATATTAAAAAAACAACATTCATTGTCCGCAAGACTAACCTCTACCTTTCTTTGTTGAATGTCCAGTCTTCCGCTTGTGACGACTGAAATCCGACACGAATCTGAATGTCTGACCGCATCCTTGTTCAGCACAAACATAAGGTCGGTCACCTGTATGAACACGAATATGTTCTGTTCGTGCCCATGCCCATTTGAATGTCATCTTGCAGCCCCTCCATGGACATTTGAGGGGACGATCGTCCATGTGTACTCGACGATGCTGTACGAGGTACTTGTGTGAGAAGAATTTCTTTCCACACCCTTTGACAGGACAAATGTTTCGTTTGTGCAAGACGAGTTCTTGTTTTGAACCGAAACTCATATTGCAGCCCTCGATATCGCAAAGATACTCTGATTCCTCATCCCTTGCTTTTGAGTCTCTATGGCCTGCTGGAGTCTTCAAAGATGAAGCATTCTTCACCTTTTTCTTACCAATTGGCCTTTTATCATTCGGTTTCGTTTCTGAAAATTTAGTAGGCTTTGGGGTTCTTTGTCTAAGACGCGTGCTCGGCCCACCCGGTTGTTGCTCTTCCTCTGATTCTAAATCGGTCAATTTACTATTCCTCTTAGCTTGCTTACCACGTCGATTTGGGGCGAGTTGTTTTGTTGGCTGAGGGGTCTCTAGTTTTAAGGTATGGCGGCCTCCACGTTTTAGAGGTTGAGAGAATTCTTCTTTCAAAGTTCGAGAGGCTCCCCGCTTTGCAGGTCGAAGAATCTCTTGTTTCGTTTGAGAAATGGTCTCTTTCTTAACAGGTTTACTTCGAAGTACCCTCGTCCTGCACTGATTAGCACTATCATCGAGTTGGTCGTCTGGTGTATTTTCTCTCTCGAAGTACTTCGATTGCACATTTCTTACATTTTTCCTATGGTGCAGAAGAGAGGTATCATCTTCATCTGGATCATCTGAAAATACATTTTCCCTTGCAGTACGTTTGGCCGATTTGCTTCGAGGTGTACTCATATGCTGATGAGAACTATTTTCGAAGGAATCCTCCGAAACTGCCTCTTCACTGTCAATCGTGGCCATCTTGCTTCTAGAAGTCCCTTGACGATGCCAAAGAAAACTATCGTCCCGTATATCATGCGAAATGGCGTTCTTTTTAACAACTTTGGCTTGCTTGCTTTTCGGAATCCTTCTATATTGCTTAAGAGGACTCTCCAAACACTCGTCCGAAAGTGCATCTTGTCTCTCAACATATTTATCTATCTTGCTTTTACTCGTTTTACCACGAAACTGAGAAGAATCGCGCTCGAAGGAATCATCGGAAACTGCAGGTTCTATCTCACCCCATTTGGGCAGCTTGAATCCGTAGAACCCTCTGTGCAGCTTAGTATGACGATCTCCTAGCGATTCGTCTGGACCCTCGTCTGAACCAGGGTCGTCTGTCTCACAATAAGCTTCCTCATTGACAGGAACTCTTCCATGTTTTTTATAAGAAACATCCTCCACAGAATCATCCGACATTACATCTTTACTCGCAACAATTTTAGACCGCTTGTTTTGTAGAATCCTATGATGCTGATGAATACAATCGTCACCCGAGTTATCCGAAACAATATCCTCCGATTCTATAGGTTCGGCTTTCTTAGTCGCCGCCCCACTCCCATAAGTCATTTTTCTCTTGCCAGCAGACTTTCTATTAACAGTCTCACTTTTCTGGATATTGTCCGATTTCCATTCGATCTTCTCATCCGACATTGTCCAAGAAGGAAAACCGTCGACATCTTCTTCTTGAGGATCTCTCTTTGCTAGCAAAGGATGAATTTGATTCGACATCCAGACTTTCCCACACCATTTCCCTACAACTACTCTTTTCAGCTTGCCGCTCCTCCTTTGATAGACTTTCGGCTTACCCGAAGAGTTACCCGAAGTACTGCGCCCAAATGCATTATAAATAACAGAGTTGTATGGCATCTGCTTACTATAAAGAGGAGAATGGCTAAGGTTGGCACTATAAAAGAGATTAATTCCCAACTTTACAGCCCAATCTCCATTACCCGGAATCGCTTCCTCGCTATCTAAAGCTAACTGAATTCTCTTTTCTTCGTCTTGGGTAGCATCTCTGAACGTCGTATCAGTCCACAGATGGTCGATACTTAATTCTTGTGCCATCAATTTCGCTTCGGCTTCCATCTTTGGATAGTCTGAAACAGTTTTCCATGATGCAGACAATGTTAGACACAGCAAAAATTTCAAGCGAACAGTTTATGTCATCAACAGTAACCATGAGTATTTATTAACGCACGAACCCGCTATATTTGAATAAGAACGAAACAATATTATATTAGAAAGTAGACGTATGAACAAAAATAACGAGGGAGGTGGAACAGTTCGGGGTCCAATATATTTATTCTATATCACAAGAACAAGTAAATGACTACAAATGGCACGCACCTGGATGACAAAGTAAAAGAATATGCACGCCTCCAATAGGGCGAAGTTGTTGTTCCACTTCTTTTGCGTGTTCTAGACAGAATACATGCAACCTAGAGGAGTCTTCGTCGATATCTGGAGCGAAAGGCATATTCTCGATCTCTACTGGTTCAGCGGACTGCTCAAACATTGGTTTTTCAGTATCGGTATCTAAGGAAGGTTTTCCATTCACATGTGAATCTTGATATCTAGTTGACAAGTCATTTTTCTTGGTTGAACCTACGCCATCGATTTCAAACTCCGAAGAACAATTGAATGAGTCTTTGGAATCAAATCTAGCTCTTCCAAATTCTTCATAGTCATTGACTTGAAACTGCATTTGATCTGCAGAGTTAGCTGACAAGGGATCATGATTGGAAGTTGCACTGTTTTTACAATATTCACTAGAAGTAAGACCAGAATTTTCAAACTGATATTGGTCTACTGAAGAACAAATTGTCGGTTTAGCATCATTGGCATGTAAAGCAGCATCCGCTTCAGCATTATCCTCCTCGGAATCAGATGAATGTCCATAAGCCAATGCGAGCATGCCAAGGGCAGAAGTCTCGTTTCGTTTTTCGGCATTAAAATTAGCTTTGTAACTTTGATCCGCTACTGGAAGCTGGCGATTGACGGC